ATTTTGTGCCACAATTAGGGGAAATGTAGTTATTTTGGGCTTTCGGTGGGGCCGGGATTGCGAGCACTCGTAGCTATGGTAGGGGTAGTCCTCACAGGCGTTGTCCTCCAGCCAGTCCTCAATCTATGAAAAATATAATTATATTATAAATATAGGTATTAATTATGAAAATGTGAACAATAATTTTTAATTTCTATTTTCCCATGTACAATGTAGTAATAAAATGAATACTATATTCTTTAGAATTTAGATGCTAAATACGACAGGGCATTTATAAATAATAGACTATGAGGTTTGAAACCCATTTTAATAAGACATGAGTATTATACACTAAGTTTATAATGACTTTAAGTCGAGTGTACAGTTTTTACGTAAACTAAGTAAAGTTTTAAAAAAGTAAAATCCAATAATATAATACATTATTTTATTAATAAATTAGTTCTATAATAAATTTACTATTATACAAAAGTCTTACCAGCTTAAAATACCTTTCCGACGCTGCCAGCTCACTGTTAATACACCTGACGCCAGATATCTCATCCAGGCAATCAATATCTTGCCAGGTAGCGCAACAAAGTTGCATTGTTGTAGCATTATGTATCTTGGTAATATTCCAGTTTATTTGAGCCACCAAACTGCACGTGTAACGGACATCCGGGTTAATGTTCATTAGACAGTCAATAGCCAGTGGGTCGGGTAGGGGTTGCCTTTCGGTAATTTCAATCTTTTGCAGCACAGGTAGCAAACAGTTAGGGCTGTGTTTGGTGTACTCCGCGCACGAGTGGTTTCCCAGAAATGTTTCCAAATTCCCGAAATATTGCCGTAATTCCAAGGATTCTCGTTCAGAGCATTTGGTGGCCGACTATTGAGAAAAATAATTTTTTAAAAGTTATATTGAACAATTTAGCAGAAACATAATTATAGTATTGAAGGTTCCATTTATTAATAGTATAGTCTTTAAACAAATATTTAATTGTTTTTTTGTATATTAGTTACAGTTTGAAAAATTTTTAAGTTTTATGTGATATAAAATAGTTATAATACTAATTTATTAATTTAATATTATATTTTTGTAATTATTACTAAGCGTTTAAACTTTTAATATTATTTGGGTGAATAAAAATATTATAATAAATTGAAACTAATATCAATAACGGACTGGTACACTAATAAGGTATTATTTAAAATACAATTTACACAAATTTAATTTTCAACTGACTCAATCAGGTAATTACTCACTAATTAATTAATAATGTTAACAAATAACTTAACTTAACTAAATTTATTTTAAAAATATAAAAATTTAAAACATACAAACTGTATTATAAACATACACTAACTTAATACTTATAGACTTTATGTTAATTAAATAAATATTTGAAATAAGAAATTGCCTGAACTGCAATATTTATATTTATATTTATATTTTTAATATTGAGCTTATAACTTATGGATACAATGCTAATATAATTTATTATGTAATATTACTTAATTAATGTCAATAATGTATGTACCAGTATAATATACATACATATATTATATAGTATATACACTGAACTGTACTTAGAAATAATACGTTTGTATAGTTTACTAGATTTATGATAAAGTATGAATTGGTCTCTCTCTCT